ATGCAAATCAAAACCACCCTAAGATACCATCTCACTCCAGTAAGATTGGCAGCCATTATGAAGTCAAACAACAACAAGTGCTGGCGAGGATGTGGGGAAAAGGGTACACTTGTACATTGCTGGTGGGACTGCAAATTGGTGCAGCCAATTTGGAAAGCAGTATGGAGATTTCTTGGAAAGCTGGGAATGGAGCCACCATTGACCCAGCTATTCCCCTTCTCGGTCTATTCCCTAAAGACCTAAAAAGAGCATGCTACAGGGACACTGCTACATCGATGTTCATAGCAGCTCAATTCACAATAGCAAGACTTTGGAACCAACCCAGATGCCCTTCAATAGACGAATGGATTAAAAAAATGTGGCATTTATACACAATGGAGTATTACTCTGCATTAAAAAACGACAAAATCATAGAATTTGCAGGGAAATGGATGGCACTAGAGCAGATTATGCTAAGTGAAGCTAGCCAATCCCTAAAAAACAAATGCCAAATGTCTTCTTTGATATAAGGAGAGTAACTAAGAACAGAGTAGGGACGAAGAGCATGAGAAGAAGATTAACATTAAACAGAGATGAGAGGTGGGAGGGAAAGGGAGAGAAAAGGGAAATTGCATGGAAATGGAAGGAGACCCTCAGGGTTATACAAAAGAACATACAAGAGGAAATGAGGGGAAAGGGAAAAATAATACAAGGGGGAGAAATGAAGGTCAGTAGAGGGGGTAGAGAGAGAAGAGGGGTGGGGAGGGGAGGGGAGGGGGGATAGTAGAGGATAGGAAAGGTAGCAGAACATGACAGTCACTAGTATGGCAATATGTAAATCAATGGATGTGTAATTGATGTGATTCTGCAATCTGTATATGGGCTAAAAATGGGAGTTCATAACCCACTTGAAGCAAAGTGTGAAAGATGATATATCAAGAACTATGTAATGTTTTGAACAACCAACAATAAAAAAAAAATAAAATTAAAAAAATAAATAAATAAATAAAAATAAAAAGCAAAATACTAAAAAAAAAATAAAAATAAAAATAAATGGCCAAAACACCAATTGAAAGAAATTATCAGAATGGATTAAAAAGGAAGTTTTTCTATACTGTAAAAAAAATAATTTAATTATTATATACTCAGCAAAAAAGTAAAAGGGATGGAAAAATATACACAACATGCATACACATATATGTACTTGACAATAAAAGATTTAAAACACATGAAGTAAAAACTGATAGGAAAGAAGGGGAAAATGGCCATAATTACAATCATATCTGGAGATTTCACTCTTCTCTCAATATTATCAGACAAGTAAACAGGAATCTATAAGGATACAGAAGAACTGAACACCACCATCAACCAAGTGGATCTATATAACATTTATAGAAAGTTCTACTCAGTAACAGCGGAATACACATTCCTCTCAAGTGGTTCACATGGCAAGACAGACCATATCCTGGATCATAAATTTAAATATATTTTTAAAGAACTGAAAGCACACTTTATATTCCTTGACCAAAATCAATTAAACTAAAAATTAGTAGCAAAAACTCTCTAAACACTTAGAAATTAAACAATATTATCTTAACTAAGGATGGTAAACTTATTCCATAAACAGAAAGTAACTATTTTAGGTTTTATAGGCCATATATGGTCTCTATTGCATTTTTTTCTCACAGCCCATTAAATGTTCTCCCCACACACACACACCAAAAAAAAAAAAAAGCTTGCATTTGTGTTTGTGTGTGTGCACACGAGCACACACACACACACCAACAATCAAAAGTTTAAAAACACCCAGGTAAGAGCCAGATATGGCTGAAAGGCCATAGTTTGATCACCTTAATTCTAAATAATTAATGAGACAACAAAAAAGTCTCACAGGACATTAGTAAAATATATTAAACCAGGGCTGGGATTGTGGCTCAGCGGTAGAGTGCTCACCTAGCATATGCGAGGCCCTGGGTTCGATCCTCAGCACCAAATAAAAATAAATAAATAAATAAAGGTGTTGTGTCCAACTACAATTGAAAAATAAATATTTTAAAAAATATATATTAAGCTGAAAATGATAATACAACATTACCAAAATGGTGTGGCATACTGATTAAGCAGTGCTTTAGAGTAAAGTTTATAGCACTAAAATACTTATATTAGAAACTACAAAAAAAAAAATGCATAAAGTAAACCCAGAACAAGTAGAAGGAAGAAAAGACATAATCAGTAAAACTACAGTTGAGTATTAAAAGATCAGCAAGATCAATAAACTTCTAGACTAAGACTTCTCAACTCTACCAGTATTGAAGCTTTGGGGATAGATAATTCTCTATTGTGGGGGGCTGTCCTGTACACTAGGTTGTTTAGCAACATTGCTGCCTTTTATCCATTAGATACTAAAAACACTTACCACCCCAGATATGATGAAAAGTCTCTCAATATAATGCTAAATGTCCCCTGTGAGGATGAAATGGACACCTGACCATTTGAAAACTGTTCTTGGTAAACATTTTGAATTTGTTGTTAAAGTCTTTTGAAAAAAAAAGAAATCTTCTGGTCCAGATGATTTTATTGGTTAATTCTACCAAACATTTAAAGAAGTAATACAAGCTCTATTCTATATCTTCCAGAAAATTTAACTCATTTTATGAGTTAAACAAATTACTAGCAAATCAAATCCAACCATATATGAAAATCATACCATGACCAAGTGTGGTTCACCCAGAGAGGGAAAATCATTGACTATAATTCACCACATTAACAGACTAAAGAAAAATTACAAGATCATATCAACAGATGCAGAAAAAATCTGTTAACAATATTCAGTATTCCTGATTTTAAAAAAAGTTTACAAATTAGAAATGTCCTATATTTGGTAGAGGGCAATCATTTTAAAAAACTAGAATTACCACCACATTTAATAGTAAAAGACAAAATGATTTCTCTAGAAGATCAATCACAAGGCAAGGATGCCCACTTTTACTATTCCTACTCAATACTGTATTACAAGTCCTATCTAGCACAGTAAGGCAAGAAAGAGAAATAAAGACATACATATTGAAAAAGAATAATAAAGTGGTCACTATTTATAAAATACATTTTTGACTATATAGAAAATCCAACAGAATCTATCCCTCAAAAGCGTACGGTGTTTCCATTGGCATTTCCTGGCAATTTGGAAATGCCAACGGAAACACCATACGCTTCCTTTAAATATAAAGGTGAAAGTTCTCAACTTAAATAAAAGGGAAAAAAATAAAGTGTGCTTTGGTTCCCAACATCTAATTCGTAAAATTGTGGAGAAAAGGAAATCCATGTTCAAATCACAAAAGTTACAATCACAGTGCATGAAAAGTGTTTAGTTAACACAGAAAAAGCATTAAATTATAAGATTCCATGGTTTCAGGCTTCTACTGGGAGTCTTGGACTATACCCTCATGGGTACAGAAACTATATACCTTTTCGTAATAAATATAAAGTACAAAAGCATACTTTTAATAATATTTTCTTGTTATTATAAAATTACATAAAATTGTGAGAATAAAACAACTTAAAATTTATTTGTCAAATTAATTCTCAGGCATATAAATATGTGTTCTAAAAATTATTTTAGATAGCTATTGATAAAAAAGTCATCATGTTTGGTTAATTCCCAAAACCACATTTAACTATTGAAAAGTGATTTACTAAAAATGTTTCTCTACTCAAGAGCTCTATTCCATTGTATTAAAAGTCTTCCATTATTCATGTTTTAAGTTGTATATTATTCTAAAAGTTTCTTCACTAAAATTTGAAAATCAAAGTGAACAAACTTTAATAGGTTATGAACAGATTTCCTATCAACAGGGCTGTTCCAGTAAATAAAGCCTTGTCTATTAAGAAAGGTCTCTAAGAAAGAATTATGCCCACTGTCTTTCCTCTAATATATATGACTTATTTTAATGTAGTAAAGCCAAAAGATTTATCATTGACAGAAATTATATATAGGCCTAACAATGAGATTCTGATTAGTGTCACAAAAGATCAAAATATATATCAATTATAAACTTATAGGAGTTGATTTGCAATTAGAGTCTCTAAATATAGCTCACAAAATTTCACAGACTAAATGAGTTCTCTAACTAGTACCCACCCATGTATAACTGAAATAATTTCAGCTTTAGAAAACTCAGCTGTTTTTTATCTAGTATGACCTCATTTATTCAGAAGGATCCTCACAAAATTTATTTTCAAACATACATTTAACTAGAAGGTTGAAAAGCAGGTAGGGGTAAAATCACACCATCAATTTAAATATGTTATTTTAGAAATAAGAACACAGACTAGAAATTAAATAAACCTAATTTTAAAATACAATGAAGCTAGATCCAAGCTAACCCATCTAATTACAAAATAGGGCATAGGTATTTATACATCAACAAATACTATTGTAGATAAACAAAACTAAGGCTACCCTTATAAAATGAGGCAAGGAACTCAAGCCACTCGAAAAGGGTAAAGGGTTAGATGATAGTTCTTTTCCACACCTAGTCTTTTCTATAAGATGAAAATATGATTTCTTCCAAAACAAAAAGCATCTTTAAAGAATTGTCAACTTGTGTAAATAGACTTTCTCTTAGTTCACTGAGCAAAAAGTAAATTACTTCTGGGTACCAAGTATTAAAAGCAGAAGTAAATCTATGAAACCAACTAAAACAAACCAATTATAAAGAACAAAATTCCCCCAATTCTTATGCCTTCCCAACTTATGTCTACAAAACCATCTGTACTGAATTTTATACTTGGTAATTTCTGAAAACATGCCATTGTGGGTGATATTTCCAACCCAGACTGTTCCATTCTCCAGCTCATTCTCAAATGTTGGTTCAACTCAAACTACCTGCAACTCAACAAAAATCACAAAAAGCCTAGACTACTAAGTCATGGAAGGTATTTGTGGCCACAATCCATCAGCTTTGCAATTTGTGAACCAATACATATACAACAAAGAAACAACATTTATAAGTGGTACCTACGTTCTTTCCGGTGTTCAACTAAACCTACAGCCTGCTTTGCTGAGCATTTTGCAAACCAGTTGTCCCCAAGTAAAACAGTGACTTCATTAGTATGAACAAGTTTTCCTGGCATGAAGGCAAAGGGGCCAAATGGTACCTATTGTTTAAAAAAGAAAAGAAAAAGGCAAAAGAATTAAAGCACTAAAACATACACTTTATGAAACACTTAGCATTAAGAGTCCTCAGTATTATTGAACTCTCTTTTTAATTATACACTGGGAGAAATAAAATGCTAACTTCACAGAAATTTAACATTTTATATTAAAACTTCACCAGGAAAATCTATAGAAAATTACTTTAAGCTAATAATCAATGTTAAAACAGGAATATAAATCCATACCATGTTTACACACAACTCTTTAAACAATTGCGCTAAGAGAAAGTGTGGCCTCTGAGCATTTATACTTTTCATTAATTCTTAAATCTACATGAAATTAATAAGAGTAACGAAATATTATCAATGAAGAATATTCTTGGTTTAAAAAAAAACCCTGAAAATTATTTCCAATAACAGTCATTTTTGCAAAGCAGGGAGGAAAATAGCTTTAATGAATCTTCCTAGCTATATTACAAAATATTTGGGCTAGTATAACAAAAAACCTTCAAGAAACAGAGTACTCATATGGTAAAAGGTTCTAATCCAGGGCTCTCAACAGGTCACTATATCACTGTGAGGATCATTAAAACAAAAATTATCAGCACCTTTTTTTAATGGAAAAAAATCAATGTTCTAACATTTAATTCTACGAATTACAAAATATTACAGCCTATGCGATATTACTGTTGTAACTCCAGTTTTTTATGTAGTAAGTTTGCACAACAAATGTCAAATTCTGTACTAATATTTACGTCACTATAATGAAATACATACACACACACACACACACACACGGAAAAATTTACCAACTATTACTACAATTACTGTAATGTTATAAAGTATAACAAAACCTTCCTTGCAATGGTAGTTACCTCTGATACAGTCCATCAATTTGTCAATTTGTACACATACAGCAAAAAAAAATCATATTTTACACAATTAATGTTTACAAGAAACAATGTATTGCTTTAAAAGAAACACACTAAACATACCATGATATTATAAGACAACTTATCAGGTAAAGTACTGAGTCTTTCTTGAAGGGCATTATAGTCATTATCTACCTTCTTCCTGTTGACAAAAAAGACCAAATACTAAATGAATGAACAGATTAACAATTCTTCCACTCTATGTATCATAAGACAAACTAATTAAAAACCTAATCTTACGCTATTTGTGTACAATGAATCATCTGTCATGTATAACTGATTAGAAAATAAATTTTTTAAAAAATTTTAAAACACCTAATTTTAGCCATTTACAGAGTAAACATTTTTTTTTTAATTTTTAGAAGTTTTTTTCTTTGAAGTTTAGGAATAGCATTATCCCACCATATATTTATTAAAGAATTAAGATTCTCCATGAATTTTGGCTTTTAGGATTACAATTAGTGTTTCCTAATGTAGAAGTCTACTCTGACTAAATAAAATGTAGAAATAAGGTAAAGAGGTGGGCTTCATGTTTGAAAGGAAACAGGGGCTCAAAGGGAAGAAAAAAAATTTAATAAAACTTTTGAGTGAATAAACACTGAGAAATGGAAATCATGAACTCAAATCTGATCAAATGCTTGATCCTAAACTTTAAGCTGAAAAATGTGGTGTCGTCAACTCTTTAATTACTCATACTAATGTGATTAAGGTGAGAGAAAAATCAACCAAGGGGCAGAAGAAATTAGGCAAAGGTAATACAAAAAGCTTTTCAATTTGGCTTTGCAGTCTGTTTTATGTTTTATCAAAGCAGAGGTACCAGCCAGGCATGGTGATCTACGCATGCTACTTGGGAGGCTGAAGCATGAGGATCACAAGTTTGAGGTCATCCTAGGTAATTTAGTAAGACTCTCTGTCAAAATTAAAAAAAAAAAAAAAGGTTTGGATGTAGCTCAGTAGTAGAGTGCTTGCTTAGCATGTCAGCATGTACATCTCTAATACAGGGGTAGGGGTGAGAGGGACAGAGCTACCAAATACATTAATTTCAAAGAATCAAAAAATATAATTCTATCAGGGTCACATTTTCATGCTGTGGGCTCTACCCAGTTCTTAGACATAGAATACCAAGCACCAGCCTATGCTGAGATGCCCATTTTCAAACTACCTCTGGAGATTTGGTTTCCTAAGGGTTCCCTGTTAGGATGTAGGCTGCAAGCAAAACCAGGGCACTAAATTTTTTTTGTAAGCAAAAGGGCATTATCAATTCTAAAACGTTGCAAAAACCAACTCAGCAAATAACTTAAATGTACATGTAGATATAGTCAAATTAGGATAAATGCACCATAATTAATCACTCTATATAATCAAAATGTCTACACTATAAACATCATCATGGAACTGGTTTCAGTTTACTCCTTAGCTGCTCTATAGCAATAATAGCATAATTAATAAAAGTTACCTCATTTAGTCTTAAGGTCTCAGGAATTTCACATATATAGTGATATTTATCCTGAAAGTATTCTTATAGTAAATGTCACTTACCATTTTTCTGTTACAGAAGAAAAAGTAGAAGAAAAATGGAGATAAACAGATCTCCTACACAACGGTGAGATGAGTACTGATTCTAACCTAGTTCTTTTGACCTGTATTCTTGTTATTATTTTCTTTTTAGATATACATGACATAGACTTCAATTTGACATAATTAAAAAACATGGACTGTATCTTGTTCAAATTTAGTCCCCAGTACCTCTCCTTTCGCTTCCCTTCCCCTACCCACTGGTTCCTTTTCTCTATTGATTCTTGTCATTTACCCAGTTATTTTTTTATTAATTTTTATGGATATCCACAATGGTGAGGTTCCCTGTGGTATATTTATATATGTGTAAAAGTTATGTCTTCATTCCACTGCCTTTCCTTCTCCCATCCCCCTTTACTTCACCCTTCATTTCCCTTTGTCTATTCCACTGAACTTCTATTTGCACCCCCACACCCTTATTGTGGATTAGCTTCCATATTTCAGAGAAAACATTTGACCTTTGGTTTTTGGGGACTGGCTTATTTCACTTAGCATGACAGTCTTCAGATCCATCATTTATTTACTGGCAAATGTCGTAAAGTCATTCTTTATGGCTGAGTAATAATCCACTGTGTATATACACCAAATTTTCTTTATCCTGACCTGTATTCATTCAAGCAAACTTTTTTCACTTTTCTGGTATTCAAAAGTGCTTTTTATAAACTTTCCTCACAAATCCTTTTCTATTAATAAACATAAAATGCCTCTTATGAGTTGGGGATATAGCTCAGTTGGTACAGTACTTGCCGTGCCTGCACAAGGCCATGGGTTCAATCCCCAGCACACCACACACACACACACACAGGCTTTTGTTATATTTAAGGCAAAACTTAACCTTCCAAATAAAATTTTATATGGATAAAATGGGAAAAAAAACCCTTTATGCACAGAATTATGAACCAGAAAAAGCATAACTCTGAAGTCAGACCACAGAATAAATCCCAGCTCTACTTCTTAACACACACATGCAAATTAACCTTAGTCTTAAATATCTTCAGTGGTAAAATTGGAATGATACCTATTCTCATAGGTTCCAGATAATTAAATATAAAAGATGTAACTCCTACCCAGTTTTAAGAATCTATGTTTTTCCATGAATCAAAAACAAACCAAAAAAACACCCACCAACCCTAAATTGTACAGGAAAAACTATTATCTACTAAAATTAAGAGTCCACTAAGTAAATTCTTTTAAATGGATAGTCGGACTTATCGAAAGACAGTAGAGCTAAATGTAACCATTCAGGGGCTTTGAAAACAGGGTTAGTGTAAGCAATAAATAGGATAATGCCTATAAAGAACAGATTTGATACAGTGCCTACACATAAGCATTCATTATTAAATCTATGGAATACTAACAATTTATATGTTTGAGATAAATAAGTTGATTATACATCAACTATCTAAATGTTTCTGTGATTAAGTAGTATTAAAGTTAACATTCAATATGTCTTACATATTGAATAATATGTATTACATATATATATGTAATATGTATACATATTGAATAATATGTATACATATTACATATATACATATGTATACATATGTATACATATGTATATATATGTATATATATTGTATATATATTGTATATATATATATATATTGTATATGTAATACATATTGAATAATATGTATTACATATATATGTGCTGCTACATCGATGTTCATAGCAGCACAATTCACAATAGCTAGACTGTGGAACCAACCTAGATGCCCTTCAATGGATGAATGGATAAAAAAAATGTGGCATTTATACACAATGGAGTATTACTCTGCATTAAAAAATGACAAAATCATAGAATTTACAGGGAAATGGATGGCATTAGAGCAGATTATGCTAAGTGAAGCTAGCCAATCCCTAAAAAACAAATGCCAAATGTCTTCTTTGATATAAGGAGAGTAACTAAGAACAGAGTAGGGTGGAAGAGTATGAGAAGAAGATTAACATTAAACAGGGATGAGAGGTGGGAGGGAAAGGGAGAGAGAAGGGAAAGTGCATGGAAATGGAAGGAGACCCTCAGAGTTATACAAAAGTACATACAAGAGGAAGTGAGGGGAAGGGGAAAAATAATATAAGGGGGACAAACGAATGTCAGTAGAGGGGGCAGAGAGAGAAGAGGGGAGGGGAGGGGAGGGGAGGGGGGATAGTAGAGGATAGGAAAGGCAGCAGAATACAACAGACACTAGCATGGCAATATGTAAATCAATGGATGTGTAACTGATGTGATTCTGCAATCTGTATATGGGGTAAAAATGGGAGCTCATAACCCACTTGAATCAAATTGTGAAATATGATATATCAAGAACTATGTAATGTTTTGAACAGCCAACAATAAAAAATTTAAAAATAAATAAATATATTACTTTAAGAAAAAAAAATATGTCTTACATAGGCAAATATAACTAGAAAATTGGACTTTAAAAAAAATCTCCTTCATACGTTAAGAGTAGATTTAACTTAAGGTAATACCAAAGATCAATGTCAGTATTCCAAATCAAGTATATTCAGTTTTAAGTTCATCATTAATAATCCTCCTAGAATAAAAATGTGGTCAAATTGTAAAACAGTTAAAGACTGGAGCTGCTATTTCTAAGTTTTGAATTATTTTCTAAAAATAAAAAAAAGGAAGATAATATAAAATGCAACCCATGAAAATTCCTTTTTAAAGGGAGACCAGCAGAAGGCAAGCAGTGTTTCTGGAATAAATTATGGCCTGGGAAACTCTCTGAAGGCCACCGCTCTTGTCAAAATGTCCATGACCAAGTGCTTAATCAAAGGGTCTTCTCCAATAGTTCCTCTAATATTTAGGGCTTAAATAAACCCATTAAAGATCACAAAGGCAACAGAAAATTCAAGTTATTTTAGAACCAATGCTGAGTGTTGCACGGGGTAAATAGGAGATCTTTATATGTACCAGAATTTATCATAAATTTTCTACATTATTACTTGGAAGCAAAATTAAATTTTGGACATTATGGTCATATTAAAATGTAGTCAAAGAGGTAATTACTTTTTTTAAAATTCAAATTGGGAACAAAACACAGCTACAATTAGGATAACCATTTCAAGTCTACTTACTTATATGTATAGACCCGTTTGTTTCACTTTACCATATTTGATCCTTACAGTTTAAGATAAGCTTTCAATTCCTAATTTAAAATTTTATCCAATAAATAAAGTTTAAGTTGTACCAGATAACCTCGTGCAACTTTCCCTATAGAAAACAATAACTAAAACATCTGTATAAGGCATACAAAAACTTGTAAAATATCCTTTGAATTTTGCTACTCATGTCTACATGTCTCCGAGAGGCATTTTTTGTTTTAAATAGAAGTAGCGATGACTATAAATTAACCTTAACCTTAAAGGATTAGGAATGAGACAGATTGCATGTGAAACACTTAATTTTCATAATTTTGGGGAAAAAGTATGAGAGAGCAAGTTAAATGAGGTGTATGCACAAGTATTTAAAGGTGAAGTATATTGATGTCCATACTTTGAAACTTTTCTATATGCTTGATTTTTTTTCACTTTCGGTATGTGTGAAGATTTATATAATGT